AGACAGTCAGAAAGGACAAGGGGGAATGGCTTCCCACTGCCAGAGGGCGGGGTTAGATGGGATATTGGGAAGGAATTCTTCCCTGTGAGGGCGGTGAGGCCCTGGCACAGGTTACCCAGAGAAGCTGTGGCTGCCCCATCCCTGGAAGTGTCCAAGGCCAGGTTGGATGGGGCTTGGAGCAACCTGGGCTAGTGGAAGGTGTCCCTGCCCATGGCAGGGGGTGGAACAGAATACAGGATGAGCTTTAAGGTCCCTTCCAATCCAAACCATTCTGTGATTCTATGAAGTTACTTTTTGCATTTTTGCAGCTATGGCAAAAGACCAAATCCAGTTCATGGAGTGGTTTCAAAGATGGTATTTAATGGGGAGTAGATAAACACAATTATGACTTCCTGACATTAAACTTAATTGCATTGATAAAAGGTATCTTCAGTACTTATCAAAGCAAGCTTTGTTTCCCCTGGTGTCTGTATGGTCCCTTCAAAACCAGAGGCTGTGGGTGATTGTGGGGTATCTAACAGGTTATCACTGGGGATCGTACTTTTTGCCATAAGATTTTTCCATTAGGAACAAATGATTCCCATTTGCACCTCCAGGCAGTGAGCGCTGCTCAAGGCACAGTCTGGCAGAGTGCCCCTCGATTTTTGGATGTTGTGTACCCAGACATGGCTTATCTTCCCTGGGGAGGTGTTGGCAGATAGCACACGGCGCTGGGAGATAACTGCTGAACTGCTTTGGGAAACTGGTGTGCTGGAATTCTGCACAAGTGTGGGACACGAGTGGATTTCTGCTCTGCTTTTTGAGGTCTGAACAGTAATTGGGATCAGCAAGGAAAGGTGTATCCTGGTCTGTGCTCTTAGGGAGCCAGCCTGGCCCCTGCACCTGCACATCCCACTGCCTTCATCCCCAAGCTTTGTAAAGCATTTGACTCTTGCCAGGAAGCACAGCTCGTTCTTCCTGCCCCGGGGAAAAATAACTACTGCCCTACCTCATCTTTAAAAAAGGCTCCCATTGCCAAATTCTGAGAAAAGCTCGTTTTACCTGAAACAAAACAGCTACCAAAACCCTCAGGTTTTCTCTTCCCACACTTCCATGCCCTGTATCTTGGCCTGGGCACATCAAGGAGCTGCTGCCTGGAACTCTGTCGTTAGATTACATAAATCCCTCGAGATACCCTGAGGAAAAATTATTACACCGTGGTGTGAGATGCAGTTGTTTTGAAGGCTTGAGAAAGAAGCTGGAAATATTTTTGTTCTCAAGTTGAAATCTTAAACTGAGAAAAGTGTGCCTGTGTCTTTCTCCGTCAGGGATCAGGCTGCTTCCTTGCAAAGGCTGGTGATTTTCCGTGTGCTGTTTAGGATTCCATATTCTTGCGTGACAGCAAAAAAGAGGTCGTGTGTCAAGGGACTGTAAAGAAATAATTTAACCTTTAGTGCTCTTCCTGAGAACAATTTAACTTGCAGAAAACAAGCCCAGATTCACATTGTGATTCTTCTGTTTATCTCAGCGAAGTTCTGACCAGTGAGAAAATTCTATGGGAGTGGGAAAAAAAAAAAGCTGGTGTGACAACCTTTATGTATTATTTTATTTCAGCTTCTTGTCCTATTTCAGTTCCCATGAATGTGATAATGAGGGAGGTGCTAGTTATTCCTTCATGAACTTTGAGTTGTCTTAGGGACCAGGTCGGTTCTGGCCGAAGAAGGAGAGGTTCTGTCACCACGCTGTGTGAGTCCGAGCATGGATGAGCTCCAGCTACTTACGGTTTCCTCCTTACAGGTAACTCTGCTCCTGAGGTTCACATGGCCCAGCCACAGGTTTGTTGATACCACACACATTTTTCAGTTCCTTCTGGAACTCAGAGTAGCTTGGGAAAAAAACGTACCTTTGTTTTCGTCGTGATGGGTTTGGTGACAGAACATGAGGTGCAGCTTTGCTGGTTCTTTTGAGGCTGCAGCACTAAGACATGATTGCATAAGGAGAGAGGAGACTTGTATTTAAGATAAGGATGAATAAGTCACAGTTAATTAGCCAAAATTGATAATTGAAACACAGAACGCACTGAGCCAAGCATCCACATGATCTATTTTTACAGCCAACTGACCCTCCCTGAGATCCAGCCAGGGGAGGTGACTGCTGCTTGCAAATACTTTATGTAGGCAAAGCCCTTATTATACCTAGAAACTAATGGGATTAAAGTTCTGCATCTCTAAAGAAAAAGTTTTCAGAGCTCCTGAAGCTCTTGGCACTTAGAGGAAGCTCAGCAAGGACAGCACGAAACCACCCACAGCCATCAACCATTTTCTGCAATGCTACAGGAAGGTATTCCCTGAAAAAAGTGGATGTGAGTGCTTCAAATCCTAAAAAAATCATCCTAAAAAGTGCTCAAAAGTCTTTCACCTTCACCTTTTGGGCGCTGTCATGAGCACAGGTCTCATGACCTGGTGAAATCACGTGGAGCATGGCATGGAAGGGCGAGCCATTCCCAAGCACTTTGCATTGACAGTAGGATAAGAGCAATTACAGTAGCACCTGAGAGGCAGTTCCCTTGGGAGTGGTTTATCCAGCTCCCTGGCTGCTGCCAGAGAACCCTTTATTTCCACAGCCATGGACTGTTGTAGATAAATTCACAAATAAAGTCAGTTCCATGTCGTTAGCAACATTACTCCATGATTCTTAAGATTGGATACACAGTCTTAAGATGGATACACAGAAAGAAAAACACAGCACTGGTTATTTTTGATTTGGAAAAGCAACATGTTTGGGAGCGAAAATTCACAGCATAAAGGATGGAAGAAAACAAAACATCTTTCTGCAATGAAAGCAGTAATGAAACAACACACCACTAAAAATGGCAAAAAGGAATAAAACAGAACAGAGGTGGAAACTTTGCAGCAGGTAAGTTTCATCAAAACATGATATTACAAGAAAACTTAGATTATTCAAAATATTGTGGTAAAGTGTTAACAGACTTTGCATTGAAGCTATATTAAGGTGGGATAAAATTGAAGGTGTTTTAAATGTTGCTGAATGAGACAGTGACATCCTTTCTTCCCACCTCAGTTTCCCCCATCAGCTCTGGCTTTTAACAGTATTGGTATTTGAATTTTGTGCTTTCCAGGCTGGAGACACTGGGCTCATTTGTATTTTGAAGCAGTCAGTTTACTTAGGCAGCTCTGTGGGCAGAAGGGAATTTTGCCTTCAACCAGTCGGGCCACGTAAGGGTTTTCACTCCATTATTTACCTTGTAAATTAGACTCCCGAGGGGAGAGGGGCTTTCAGACGTTTGAAATGCTGTATGCAAAAAGCCTGTACATTTGTCTCCCTTTTTTGATTCTCTCTTTTAATATTAACCAGCCCTTTTCACTGCTGGTTCTCTGCCTCAGGACAGCAGAGCAACACTTGCGAGAGACAAAAGCGAGGGAGCGGCCGCTGGGTGTGTCAGCTGGAAGGGCTGAAGCTGATAGAGAAAATCATTTACTGTCATCAGCACGCAGTAAGTGTTGCACTTCACAAAACAGGAGGGAAATGTCCTTGTCGTGGAGACACGGAGGAATCTTCCCGTTTGTCACGAACGTCCTCTCCGAACAGCCAAACATACAAAGTTCTTTGTCTTCTTTTCTTCCTTCTCTTCAACTTTCATACTCATGTTATGAGGCTTTCTCTCACACTTTGCTTCCCAACTGAAGTAGACTTTTGCAGGACTTCATAGTTTGCTTAAGGAAAAAAAATATGGAGTACATTAGCGGTTAATTTAATGGATTCTTGCCTAGGGGTTTCAGTGTTGTTATGACTCAGTCCTCTCAAAATCATGAGATTGGCTTAGTCATTCTTTTATTTATTTATTTATTTATTTATTTTCCCCACTAGATACAAATCCATTCCCACCCTGGTTATTTGGGATAGAGGTGGGACAGCTTCACACTGGCATCATCTGGTCACACAGCCTGTCACCTGCCAGAGGCTCCCTGGGCACGTGGCCTTTTACAGACAGAATTCGGCCATTAGGAGGAATTCTTCACATGATTAAACATTGGAATGGGCTGCCCAGGGAAGTGGTGGAATCACCATTCCTGGAGTGTGTTCAAGAAATGGCTGGATGTGGAACTCAGTGCTCTGGTCTAGTGATCGGTCACAGGTTGGACCTAATCACAGAATCACAGAATCATTAGGGTTGGAAGGGATCTCTGGAGATCATCCAGTCCTGCTGAGGCAGGGCCACCTGGAGCAGGGGACACAGGAATGGATCCAGGTGGGTTTGGAATGTCTCCAGAGAGGGACACTCCACGACCTCCCTGGGCAGCTGTTCCAGTGCTCTGCCATGCCCAACGTACACAAGCTCTTCCTCAAACTGAGGTGAAACTTCTTGTATTTTAGTTTATGTCCCTTGCTCCTTGTCCTGTCACGGGGCACCACCAAAAAGAGTCTGGAAGCATCCTGGCACACGTTTCCCAGAGAAGCTGTGGCTGCCCAGTCCTTGGAAGTGTTCAAGGCCAGGTTGGACAGGACTTGGAGCAACCTGGGCTAGCAAGTGGCATCCCTGCCCATGCGATGGGGATTGGAACGAGAAGATCTTTGAGGTCCCTTCCAGCCCAAATCACTCCCTGATTCTGTGTCGCTCTTGACACCCGCTTTGGGAGATATTTATATATCTTTTAGCTATGAGATCCCCTCTCAGCCTTCTCTTTTCCGGACTAAACACGCCCATCACCCCCAAGCTCTCCTCATCAGAGAGATGGTTGAGGGTGCTTCTAGTGAAGTTTTTGGGGCTCGCCTCCCTCTTTCCCGCGTGGTGTGTGTTCCCGCTCCCCCCAGGGGCCGGTCCCCTGTCAATGGGCGGGTTCCATGGAAGTTTTTGGGGCTCCCCTCCCTCTTTCCCGCCCGGTGTGCGTTCCCCCTCTCCCCTCAGGGGGCGGTTCCCGCCCCGCTCCCTCAGCGCGCTGCGCTCCCGCCCCGTGCGCGCGCAGCGGGCGGGCGGGGCCGGCGCATGCGCGGCGGGGGCGCGCGGCCGCCCGCCCGGCTGGTGCGTGCGAGGGAGAAGATGGCGGCGGCGGGGGCGGCGGCGTGAGGGGCCAGGACCGCCCGAGCTCCGCGGGGGACGCGGGGCCGCCATGGCCCTGCACGGCGCGCAGGTACCGCCCGCACCCGCGCTCCGCGGCCCGCGCGCCGCGCCGCGCCCGGGCCCCGCGGGGCTCCCGGCGGCGGGCGGGCCCCGGGGTGGGGGGGGAGCGTGGTGGCCGGGAGTAGGCCCAGGGTGATTGTGCACGTTCATTGAATGCGCGGAGCGCGGCGGGGCCGCCTCGCTGCCCGCGGGGGGCGGCGGATCCGGCGCTCCCCCGGCGGAATTCCCACCCCGGAGGGGCCCGGAGGGCTTGGGGGGGCGGCCCCGCGCCCGTGCCGGTGTCACCACGCCGGGGCTCGGGGAGGTGGGGGGGTGGGTGCTGAGCCCCCGCCCGGAGGTGGCTGGGACAGAGCCCCTGGCTGCGGGTTCGCTTTTTTTATTTGGGGTTGGAGGGGGAAGAGGCAGAAGCGATTCTATAACGAGAAGGGAATAAGGAGATTTGTAAAGTAATCCTCCCCCCCTCCCCCCCGCCCAAACACTCGCTAAACCCCGGCGCATCGGGGTGCAAAGGGCTGAGTGTTGCAAGATCGCCGTGCACGGGGATGCGTGTGCGGATTCCCTGGATCCCACTGGCTGAACCGGCCGGGAGATTTGTGCTCGGAGTGGGGAAAAAAAAAACCCAAAAAAACTGCAGCCGTGGTGGTTTTCTCGCTGGAAGTTTACAGCTCGGTTCCCGGGCTAATCCAGTGTGTGCTTAGGGCAAATGATTGAATGGGTTCACTTCGCTCTTTCTTTTTCCCCCTCTAAGGTTTTTCGTCACAAAAAGGTTTAAAGCAGAAATGTCGGGAAAAGCTGAGGTGTTTATTTGCAAGACTTTGTGCAGCTTTGCATTAAGCAAATAATAAAGTTTAGAAAACTTTGGTGCCGTTAAAGATAAATTTTTTTAAGAATCCGTGTCTTTCGTGACAGGAAAGTAGGGTTCATAAAATGTAAGTTATTTCAAAGAAAGTAATGCTTTATTCTGAATTCTGCATTTTTTTCTGAAGGCAGTTAATCTGCACATCAAACGAACTTGTGCACTGGTGGCACTGATAGGGATTCCTCCATAAACAAAAGTTTGTAATGGGTAAAAACTATAATGACATTTCTTGTCCAGCTTCATTTGTTTATATTCGAGAGCAAGAGGGATCTGATTTTGTTTATGTAGCTGTTCTGAGGGTCGTTGCAATTTCTGGAGTTTGTTTGTTTAAAATTTAAAATTGTTTGAAAATTTGGCGTCCTTCAGGTTTTCTTTCTTTTCCTTTTCAAGTGGAGGAAACTCACTTAGTTTTTGGACTTTTTTTAGCTGGCCTAATGACTGGTAATTACAGTCAGGTTTATCAAAATGAATCAATGCCCAGCTCAAGGGTTATTTCATACCTTGCTTTCCCTTCCCCTCGTCAGTGCGTGTGGTCTGTTTGATAGGTTTGGAGTTTACACTGCAGCTTTTTTCTTGATTTAGACGAATTAAGGACATTTTTCTGTCTGTACTTAATTATGTTGGTGGATCTTGAAACAAAAAAACCGTGAAGCTGATGATTTAGTTGACAGTGAAATGCTGCAGAGCTGAAATTAAAACGAGACTGTAAATTCATCTTTAGTAGTAACTTGAACATCTACTATTTTAAATCAACTCCCTCTATAGGTTAATGCAGATATTTGGGTCTCCTGAGGATATCTGTGTAAATTTATATAAAATTTGGAAGCGTATCTGTAAGATACCTTTTAGCTGGTGCTTTGTTCATGTCATTAAGCAACCTATTTTTGTGTGTTTTTTTTTTTTTTATTATTTCCAAATTTAAACAGTTTATTTAGGTGCTGACTGGGATTTATGTGAATAATTCTAAACCAATGGGGTGCTATAATGCTGAATTAAGGTAACAACATTTTGGACTCTTTTGGATGAAAAGCCTGAAGAGAAGTTCAGGGATGCAGTTTCATGTGTAGGATTTTTCCTTTTTATTTTAGAACGATGCTGTTGCAGATCAGTAGAAAAAAAATAAAGAGTTTTGCTGAAAGTTGTCTGTTCTGAGCACAAGATAAATAACATTATTGAGTCATTGTGCTCATATCATGATGGAGAGTTGTGAACAAAAGCGTGTCATTTTTCCATATCACTGTTATTTGGGTGTAGAATAATTGAGATATTTTTTGTCACACGCAGAGGAAAAGGCCTTCAAGAAAATGCTGCTGCTCTTACAGCTGAAATGCACAGTCAGATTTCTGCCGATGGATGGATCATGTAAGAGTGGGCAGAAACATTTTCCCAGTCAGTTTGCACGTTGTGACGAACGATTCATGAAATGCTCATATCAAATATTTCCAAAGGGGCATTAATTTTGGATGGTCAGCTCTTCAGCAAGCACAGGAGTGAAGGATGACATGGTTTAGGTATTGCTGGTCGTTTGTACCTCTGTGTTTCATGCCATTATTTCATAATCATTTAATAAGATATTTAAGTGTTGCTGTTGGTCTGCTGGGTGTGTGCTGACTAATTTGAAAATCTGTTCTTTTTTTAAGGTTGAGCTAGAAGTAAACCTGCTGTATCACTACATGACACTGGAGATGTTAAGCTGATCTAGTTAAAACCATTTGTCATCAAGGGTGTCTAAAAAAAAAAAAAAAGGCAGCTTAAAAACTATTTCCCTGTTTGGAAAGAGTAAAACTGTCAGAACTGTGTAAACTGTTGGTTTAGCCCCTTTTTCTATTGTTTTTCATAGAAAGAATTAATACAGACGCATCATTTGTGAATTCCTGTGAAAACAAGTTGAGCAGAAGAAAGGATACCATGGCAGAATGAATCATTTATGCTTGTTTTGTTCTTTCACCATCACTGTGGTGTCAAATGAACTCGGGGCCATTTTAAACGTACCGCATTGCCCCCAAACCCGGCTGGAGTGAAAACCAGGCGGGTTTCAGCTCAGAGAAAATCAAAAAAAGCTGAACAAGCTCCTGAGCTGCTCATCCTCACCCAGGATGTGTCTGGCCTGGCAACCAGAAGAACTGGAACTCAGAACATGGCATGCAACCTGACTCCCTGAAACACTGCACTGCAAACGGCCTCTTTTATGGCTGGCTTGGAGGGTTGCTTCCTGGCAGGGTGTAGTTTGATGTTCCCTTAAGCCAGGGCTGTTTCTAGAAGAAGAAAAAAAGGCAGCATTCTGCAGGCATTTGTGCTGTGCTGCCTTTGCAGTGCATTGCCTGATGTTTGTGGCGATTAGGAAATCGATGTCTCTAAAATAGTGTGAAAAATTGGTTGTTCTGCAGCTGGATGAGGTTCTTGGGCACATGTGGGGAATGTTGGAGTTGTCCTTACAGGCAGAAGGAAGCGTCTGGGGAGAGGGCAGTGTGGATTCTGTCAGGTTGGTGAAAATATGGGGGACACCCTGAACACAGAATAAAAGGTGGCTCTGGAAAAGGGCTGCTGTGGGTAGATTTGGGGAGAGGTGTTTGAGTGCATCCTCTTGCTGCAGCTGCTGCTCAGTTGCTGTCCTGTGTTTTAAAGGGCTGAAGAAGCTGGATTTGTCTCCCCCTCTGATTTTTTGAGCCCTATTCTCACTGCTCAGAAGGATCTGGGTTCATCCTTTTGCCCATGGAGTGAGTAGTTATTCAGGCATTCCGTGATCTTGGGAATTCAGGCTGCAGCTGAAACTGAGAGTTTCAGTAGCCAGGAGGTATCATTTGCCTTTCTAAAATGTGAATGGTGAAGCCACACAGAGTGAAGTGGGTGAGTGTGGGTTGCCTGACTTAAAAAAAGGAAGTCTGGGAAAACTGACATAGAACTTAAATTTGGAACTGTATGGAAGCATGCAAATAGGCTAAAACCCACAGGTTTTGTGAATCACTGCTATTTATTCTGTGCATTCTAGGCTATGGCACTGATCTGGAGACGTTTTAGAATGGATCCAGCCATCTACCTATTAATAAATCCAGTTTTTGGAGGCAGTTGCTTAAACACACTGCTTTTTCCATCCACGTAGCTGCTAAAACACTTGTAAAGTTAAGTGAGGTTTTGTTTATAGGTAAACTGAGCAGTCTCATTTCTGTTTAGTGGTCGACACACAACATGCTGTGTCGTACAAAACAGCCAAATCTGTTGTAATAGAAGTTGCTGGCCTTGGGCCATTGGATTATAGTCATTTGTCACTCTAATGCCATTTCAGCAATGTAGATGTTCATTTCCAAAGAATTAAACATGCTGGAACTGCGGTTTTTCTGTTTGATGGAAGTGTTTTATGTGTGATCATTAAACATACAACTGGGGATTAGGGAACAAAGGGTTATGCTTCATGGGGAAAAAAAGTGTGTGTGTGTATGTACATGTGTGTATGTATGGACATTCCATCATGGAATAGTCTGGTGTCTTAAAATTGGGGTTCTGAACCCTATTTTTATTTTATGATGTTTTAACATATGCTTTGGAGACTGTTTTAAGTATTCTAAATAATGGGGCTATGTTGGTTATTTTTAAAACACTTAAAAGGATTCTGTTAGGTTAGTGCTCATGTTAATATATTCATTAATGTTTTAATAGAGTAAAACTTTGATGTGCATTAGTCTTTTCATTTCATATTTGACTCTCTAATACCTCATTTATTTGCAGATGTTCTTGATATTTAAAATATGGGTAAGAACTTTTCCTCCCTGTTTGACAGCATATGATTTATTGATCTTTGGTGTGTGCTACAAGGTCTGTTTTTCTTCACCTGCAGTCAGGCAGGAGGTAGCTTAAATCACAGTAGCCCTAACAAAGTGTTTGTGTAAGGCTTATTTAAATCATACACCTTTTGGAAAAGCATGTGAGCTTAAGATTAAGAAAGGCCTTGTTGATATTCTGTGGTAGTCACAAATGTTAGTGCTGTAGGGAAAAAAAACGTTAGGGGTGCTTTGGGGAATTTTGCTTCTTAGAGTATCGTGTGTGAATTCATATCATGTATAGAAGCTTTAAAAGAAGCATTGAATGTTGTTTGCATTGGAATTGTAGTAGAAAAGAAAGGGATCTAAATCAGTTTCATTGAGGGTGATGTTAAT